TGGAAATATGAAACCAGCAGGTTCTCCTGAGGACCCTCTCCCCCCGAGGATGGTGGGTGACATCATCCCTATTTTGGGCCCCACCATCTTAGACATTTTTAACTCTAGCTTGGCTACTGGGGTGTTTCCTATTTCTTTTAAAAAGGTGGTTGTGCAACCAATTAAAAAAAAAAACTGGTTAAGACAGCTCAAATCTTGCAAACTTTTGGCCAATCTCCAAATTACCGTTTTTGTCTAAGGTCCTTGAAAAGATTGTCTATTCACAGATTACAGCACACATGAATAGATTTTCTCTGGTTGATGTGTTCCAGTCCGGGTTTAGGCCACTTCACAGTATTGAATCAGCCCTTCTTCGAGTGACCAATGACATCCTGGTGGCTTCTGACTCTGGGTCGCCTGTTTTGCTCTTACTCTTAGATCTCTCTGCAGCGTTTGATACTGTTGACCACGATATTTTGCTGGATAGACTTGAGTCATGGGTAGGGCTTAGGGGTACCTCACTTCAGTGGTTCTGCTCATACCTGTCAAACAGAGTTTTCAAGGTTCAGTTGGGTAATTGTTCCTCTACATTCCTTCCACTTCCATGGGGAGTCCCGCAGGGATCTGTGCTTGGGCCTCTCCTGTTTTCAATGTACATCCTCCCCCTGGGTTTCATCCTGAGGAAATATGGCCTGGGCTATCATATTTATGCAGATGATTGCCAGATCTACCTGGCTTTGAACAAACCAGGCTCCCTCTCTCTTCTGGACCAATGTTTGGCTGAAGTGAGGGTTTGGCTTGCCAACAATTTCCTTAAGCTAAATGATTCTAAGTCTGAGGCACTCCTGATGACCCCTAACAAAACCACACACGTATCTTCTGATTTGGCCACTCTCCCATATGACCTCAAGCAGTGTGTTACCAACCTGGGGGTGAAACTGGATACACACTTTTCCATGGGCCCTCAGATTAACGCAGTGGTCAGATCGTGGTTTTATCAGCTGCGCAGACTAGTTCGCTTAAAACCAATCCTGAAACGAGCGCACCTGGAATCTGTAATTCATGCTTTTATCATCTCCCGACTGGATTATGCAAATTTCATTTTAATTGGCTTACCTGCCTCCACTCTTAACAGGCTTCAGGTCGTACAGAACGCGGCAGCCAGGTTTTTAACAAACACCCCTAGAAGAGACCATATCACACCTGTACTGACGCGGCTCCACTGGCTACCCATAAACTTCAGAGTCAAGTTTAAAATCCTGACTTTTGTTTTTAAGGCCCTGAACGGTCTGGCTCCAGATTCTGGATCTTGTGACTCGTTATGTGCCAAACCGGGCGTTGAGGTCTGCTGATTGCCTGCTGCTTCGCGTTTCATCAATGAAATACAAAACACGGGGGCAGCGTGCTTTTGTCTACGCTGCTCCGACTCTTCTTCTTTCAGTGAGGATGGCACCATCCCTCCTCCGGTTCAAGTCACTACTTAAGGCTCACTTTTACGACCAGGCATTTTTAAATCCCTGACTTTTATTTTATTATGTGTCTTTTATTGACCGTGATTATCTGCCTTGTTGTGCATTTTATTGTTGGCCGTGTTTTGTTTTTTTACTTTTTATTCTGTACAGCACTTTGGTCGGCTGCCATGCCATTTTTAAATGTGCTTAATAAATAAAGTTGGTATGGTGTATTTAATCCAAAGATTAATATTTAATTTAAGAAATTTAATTAATAGCAAAGTTTATTTATTAACCAGAAGACTTAATGGAATCTTTGCTTGTTCAATAACCAAATATACACCATTCTGTGTTTTAGTTCAAGAGTCAGGTTTAAAAAGTTAAGAATTTATTACTAACAATTTAAAGATGACAATGTAAAAAATACAATTCATAACAGCTTTGATATTAAAACTTGGTATTAAAAGCAACCTGTGTCTGAATGAAAACTAGAATGAAATGCATGTGTTTGGATGCGTGGATGGATTCTCAGAAGGTTCCTATCAGAGAGAGAAACGCATTCTGGGTGAAAGAGTTTGTTTTGCAGCTAACTAAGTTGGGTCTTAAGTCTGGTTTATGCTTCTCCGTCAGTTCCGCAAGGGACAGACACTCACGGATTGACGGAAGCGTTTTGCTCTCATACTTCTCCGTCTCCTGGAGAGTGTTGCAAAGCAATTCCCTGGCAGGAAAACAGAGGGCGTAGCGTTGTTCTGTGGTATCTGTCGTGTATCGGTCCAAGATCGTGTGTTTTATTGTGTTTTTTGTGTATATAAGAGACTTTTAACAAGGACATATTTGTCTCTCATTCTCCCACCGCTTCATGCGCTCCCCACCGCTAAACCCACGTTTCATGTCATTTCCGTCCACAAATAAAATGCTTGCTGTGCATCTTTTCACTCCTCCAGTCACGGGAGGATAAAACGTTCATACTTTTAGAGTTTTTTCGCGAGGTATTCTTCAAGCTTCTCCGTGTCTGCCGCTAGTTATCCTCGGCTCTCTTTGCAATGGCGGCGCTGCAAACAACAGCGGCGTCCCGACCAATCACAAGCTTGCGTAATCCGTCTCGTTCGACGGATGTTTAAAAAAGTGGGCTCGACTCCGTAAGTACTTGCTTGCCCTACGCAAGGACGGATAATGGCATTGCGTGTCTCCGCACTGACGCAGACGGAGAAGCATAAATCAGGCTTTAGAGCGAACAGCATCGGACGCAATCTGTGTTCTACCTCACCCAGTTAGACGACCCTCTGTGTGGACTCGGAGGTCAAAGGGAGGATGTTGCCAGCCTCTGGGTACTCAGTCCGGTAGGGGAGACCCGAGTGGTATCGACTCTCTGGTCCAAGAGTTGCCGCAGGGTACACAGGTGTTGAGCTTGCGTCTGGCTTAACTCTGAAGGAGTTTAGCATCAGCTGGTGCAGGTGGCATTTATTTGGAGCGATTCTATCGGCGTGACAGAACAGCTTAGTGAGGCTTCGGGCGGCTGACCCTTGTCCTCTGGGATTCTCGTGCCACGGAGATATTTTGGTTGGTTCAGAACTGAAGTTGAACTGAGGAGTTTTTGGTTTTATTAAAACTCAGGACACACCCTCTCAGAGATAGGAAGCTTTGGTTATGGAGCAAAGACATGTGAGGTGCAGTTACCTTCACCCTGATTCAGTCCCCTGCATGTTGTGTACAAGTGTACATGACCTTGTGGTTACTGATTAAACATTACTGATTATCATAAATAATATTTATTATTAACCAAAGAATAATAAGTTATTTCAGTAATTAAATACATTTATAATGAGCCATGATGATTATTTATTAACCTTGTAATAAACAGTGAAAAGAGTTTATTAAAAATGATTATTTTAAATCTTGAAGTGTCCTTCATCTTGGGATGGAACAGCAGTCAGATTAAAGATGGTTTTAGCAGACGTTACGTCTCCAGTGATGGATAATCTGTGGACAGAAGTACAGCTCGACCCAGCTGGGGAAGTGTGACCTTTGGGTCACAAATGAGGCCATTCATGTTGCTACACATCATTAACAGTAGCATACAAAGTCCTGGATGGTACGGCTCCCATCTGCCTGAATCCCCTTGTAAAGGCTAACGTCATGGCTCGGCCACTCGGGTCATCAAAGATCATCGGCTGGCAGTGCCTACACTTCATGCAGGACAATCCAGACTCTTTTCATGTGTTGTTCCACATCTGTGAAACAACCTATCAAGAACTACCAGAACAAGGGCTTCCTTGTCGATTTTCAAGAAACTCCTGAAGACCCAGCTCTTCAGAGAGCATCTTCTAAACCAGCACCCTCCCTGCGCCCGTCCCCCACTCTACTGCACTCTCCATGTTTGCTTCCCTCTACGATTAAGCTGCCTCACTGCCACCTAGGATTGACCGATAAGTGTTAGCAACCTGCTGCTTCATTATCACCTGTAAGTAGCTTTGCACAAAACTGTCTGCTACATACTTCTCCACATGTTCTGAACGTGCCCAAACAGCAGAGGTTTAGGTGTTCTTTGCTTGATGCTCTCTCCAAGACTTGAGAACTCCTTTGGAGTGGTCGTGGTGGAGGCTTACTCGGACACAAGCCAGTTGAAAATGGTTCTCTTTTAATTTTTTTGGCAAAAAGACTCATAGTCCAGGTGGAAAGAGTCATCCACCACATGTAGAGCTGAGAAAAGCAGGCAAACAGAAGGGCTTGATGGAAAGTTTGTTTCCTTCTTTGTGATCATTTCTCTTATGTTCTTTTGTGGACTGTTTTGTGTGTTTAGGTTAGATGTTGTTATGAAACCTGGTCTTAAGAAGTCTTTGTGAGTTGGATTCGGTGTAGTGGGGTGGGTGGGGTTTTCTGTTGTGGGTTTGTTAAAATATGTAAAAGATCAATAAAAAAAAAAAACAGTGACGCAATCTCCAATTAGGAATCAGAGTAGACCTGCAGCGACATGCTGCACATCTTCAGCAAGTCCTTTGTGGCGAGTGTGATCTCTTAGGTCATCAGCTGTTGGGGTAGCATCATCAGGGACAGTGACCAACAACCCGATAAAAAGAATCTGGTCCTGTTCTGGCGACTGCGGTGGAACCACTGGTGATGATAGTTCACGCGCAGCCCTGAGCGTCCTCTTCATGAGTCATGCAGCAACAGAGCATCTTCACAACTTCTGTAACCCAGAAGGCTCCAGGAGGTCCTTCCTGTCCACAGCCATCAGCATATTTAACCACACTGAAAATGATGAACATGAGATTCTCACTACAGTTATTCTATTGTTGTGTTGAAGATTGAACACTTAATTCACCTCTGGGATTAATAGTCTTTTGGAATTTGAATGATTGTACCGCAGAGGGCAGGCAATCCAGCGGACGATGAGCGTCTCCAACACTGACGCGTGAGTGGTCAATTTCTGAGAAACCAGCACAGCCACCAGCCATATCAGATCAGAGGGTTGCTACTTCCTAATGGCAGGGAAGTGGCCTTAATTTTGGCCATCATACTGTGCCATATGAGACATCCTGAATAAACAAAATCAAACAGAACTTCAGATCCTTTGAGTTTTAACATCTTTATTGCATAAAGGAGGCATAAAAAATATATTTCAATGTGACTCCATAACAGGAAAACAAACCTAACCATGTGTTCAGGTTGCCTTCTGTAACTAACCAATGTCCACATGCTACAAAGGTTTGAACTACAATACTTACAAAAACTGACTTAAGACCTTCAGCCAAACCCATTGGTCAGGTTCCATTTGCAGGAATGGCCTCATGACAAGCTTCCAAGTACACCAACTAATTAACTAGTCTTATCTAAATTCATAGAAATTATTCCGGAGACTACAAATGATACCAGGTATGGATGTAAACAAAATATGTGGATGCAGAGATTAAGAATAAACAGAAGAGAGGAATCAGTTGAGGTGGCACAGGCATCTGGTCAGGATGCCTCCTGGACGCCTCCCTGGTGAGGTTTTCGGACACGTCCAACCGGGAGGAGACCTAAAGGGAGACCCTGGACACGGAGAGACTATGTCTCTCACCTGGCCAGGGAACGCCTTGGAATTCCCCCGGAAGAGCTGGCGTAAGTGGCTGGGGAGAGGGGAGTCTGGGCCTCGTGACTTAGGCTACTGCCCCCATGACCCGACTCCAGATAAGCGGAGGAGAATGGATGGAGGGACAATATTTAACTTACATGTCAAGTAGAAAAAAAGTTAATTATTTCTTGTTAGATGGAATTGCTTTAGTAAAATAATTGTGCAATTTTGTAAATGTCCATCCCTCACAGCAGGAAGTCCAACTCTTCACTACACAGTCAGAGCCAACTCTCGTCAGCACCAGGCGAGACAATGACGTAAAAGATGTTTCACGTCACCCTAAAACCCTCAAAGCGCTGAACTCTTAGAACGTGGATTTTCACATCAATGCCAAAATTTTCCTAAGAAACTGCGCTTGTGGACTTGTTCCTGGTACCCTTCTGAGATGTACACCCAGCACGTCAACGGTGTTGGAGCAGTAGTTTTCACGTGGAGCTGTGACGCAGACAGACACGGTTGATTTGAACCATTTTCATGGAAACCATTTTATCGTCCACCTCACAGGGGCTTAGAGTTCCTGATTTGGGATCTTTCCATTCAAAAAAATAAAAATGCATGACTTGAATATGTTTTTCTAACATTTAGGTAGCCTGGTTTTCTATCAGTGGGTTTGTGTACAAGGTCTGCTTGGTCCAAACAGTCAGTGTGCATTACACACAGAGGTTAAAGGTCATAGAGACCAGAACCTCAGACATTTAACCTCATCCACCAGACGATGGCCCTCTCCTACCAGGTCTCCAGGAGCAGGTGCCTCCTCCCGGTCCCATCAGGGGACTGTAGTCTGGAACAAACAGAAACAGCATCAATTAAAAACCTGTTGCTCATCTACCGAACAACTGAGGTTCTGGATCCTCAAACACACAGCAACACAGAAGGAAGTCTCCTGAGTCCATATGTTGGCATTTCTTTGGCAGATGGACAAAGAAAACACTTCCTTTTAATCTACACTAACAGCTTCAAAGGTGCTGATCTCTGGTCTGAAGACCTGTTACCATGGTGACAGATGGGGGTCAGCCAACTCTTAAAAGAACCCAGGCTCCTCACTGGGTTCTTTAAGGGTGTTTTCATTAGTGCTATGACAGCAAAATGTGCCCACTGATGAACAATAGAGGCATTTCTGTTCTATTCTATACTGTAAACCATAATGAAGAAAATCACACACAACATATTTATATACTACATGTATGAAAATTAGAGCGTACCATTACTGCGAAGCTGCTTCTTGCCTGTCTTCGTTTTCTGTGCCGTTGATGAAGATGAGCCAGCCTTGTCAGTGCTCTGTGGGCATAAATGTCAGACACATCAATGGCATCGCAACAAGCCACACAAAATATGATCATACTCTAGAAAAGCTACACCTGGGCCCTCATTCATCAAGCGCACTGACACACAGCTCTATGCGTATCTCATGTGTAGGAATGTTTTTACATATTATGTGGAATTCAACATCCTGCACTTGTGTGCAGAAATGTTCCTAAACATCAGAACAGCTCTGACCATGTGCATGATAAGCATCTATTGGTAGAAATGGGGGAACCACAACAATGAAGGTCTTAGTAATCCACTAATTACCCAATCAGTAATGATGGCTGTGGAGAAACAGCTTTATCACGTAACTGCTGATCTGATATTTAGCACCTCTCAAGGCACGTTGGCGAGCGCCTGGTGGCCGGGCTTTTACCCATAGAGACTGGCTGAGCACGGCCTGAAGAGGAAACGTGGGTCCCCCTTCCCATGGGCTCAGTACTCGTGGGAGGGGTCAAAGGGCTCGGGTGCAGTGTGTGACGGGTGGTATCAGACCTTGGCGGTCTGATCCTCAGCTACAGAAGCTGGCTCTTGGCATGTGAAATGTCATCTCTCTGGTGGGGAACAAGCCTGACTTGGTGCGCGAGGTTGAGAGGTTTCGACTAGATATAGAGCTACGGACGTCACGTGACTCAGAGAGTAGACGCCATGTTGGCAGGCAACAAATGTAAACAAAATGAATGGGATGGGCTTGGATTGCACTTCGTCGGAGTTTACTTCACACTTTAAAACCGAAGAAATCATTTTATATAGTCAGAAATTAAATAGACTAAACATCTCCGACCCTTACCGTGCTCCTGGGATACTTTTTAAAAACGCCAGAAGCTGTCGGAGCGGACTTCTTACCGGACCTGGCCAGGGAACGCCTTGGGATTCCCCCGGAGGAGCTGGCCCAAGTGGCTGGGGAGAGGGAAGTCTGGGCCTCTTAGGCTACTGCCCCCGCAACCCAACCCCAGATAAGTAGATGATAATGGATGGATGGATGGACAAATAACATAGATTTACATGTAATAAGTTTAAATACAGGGAGTGCAGAATTATTAGGCAAGTTGTATTTTTGAGGAATAATTTTATTATTGAACAACAACCATGTTCTCAATGAACCCAAAAAACTCATAAATATCAAAGCTGAATGTTTTTGGAAGTAGTTTTTAGTTTTAGCTATTTTAGGGAGATACCTGTGTGTGCAGGTGACTATTACTGTGAATAATTATTAGGCAACTTGACAAAAAACAAATAAATACCCATTTCAATTTTTTTTTTTTACCAGTGAAACCAATATAACATCTCCACATTCCCAAATATACATTTCTGACATTCAAAAACAAATCAGCGACCAATATAGCCACCTTTCTTTGCAAGGACACTCAAAAGCCTGCCATCCATGGATTCTGTCAGTGTTTTGATCTGTTCACCATCAACATTGCGTGCAGCAGCAACCACAGCCTCCCAGACACTGTTCAGAGAGGTGTACTGTTTTCCCTACTTGTAAATCTCACATTTGATGATGGACCACAGGTTCTCAATGGGGTTCAAATCAGGTGAACAAGGAGGCCATGTCATTAGTTTTTCTTCTTTTATACCCTTTCTTGCCAGCCACGCTGTGGAGTACTTGGACGCGTGTGATAGAGCATTGTCCTGCATGAAAATCATGTTTTTCTTGAAGGATGCAGACTTCTTCCTGTACCACTGCTTGAAGAAGGTGTCTTCCAGAAACTGGCAGTAGGACTGGGAGTTGAGCTTGACTCCATCCTCAACCTGTAAAGGCCCCACAAGCTCATCTTTGATGATACCAGCCCAAACCAGTACTCCACCTCCACCTTGCTGGCGTCTGAGTCGGACTGGAGCTCTCTGCCCTTTACCAATCCAGCCACGGGCCCATCCATCTGGCCCATCAAGACTCACTCTCATTTCATCAGTCCATAAAACCTTAGAAAAATCAGTCTTGAGATATTTCTTGGCCCAGTCTTGACGTTTCAGCTTGTGTGTCTTGTTCAGTGGTGGTCGTCTTTCAGCCTTTCTTACCTCGGCCATGTCTCTGAGTATTGCACACCTTGTGCTTTTGGGCACTCCAGTGATGTTGCAGCTCTGAAATATGTCCAAACTGGTGGCAAGTGGCATCTTGGCAGCTGCACGCTTGACTTTTCTCAGTTCATGGGCAGTTATTTTGCGCCTTGGTTTGTCCACACGCTTCTTGCGACCCTGTTGACTATTTTGAATGAAACGCTTGATTGTTCGATGATCACGCTTCAGAAGCTTTGCAATGTTAAGACTGCTGCATTCCTCTGCAAGATATCTCACTATTTTTGACCTTTCTGAGCCTGTCAAGTCCTTCTTTTGACCCATTTTGCCAAAGGAAAGGAAGTTGCCTAATAACTATGCACACCTGATATAGGGTGTTGATGTCATTAGACCACACCCCTTCTCATTACAGAGATGCACATCACCTAATATGCTTAAATGGTAGTAGGCTTTCGAGCCTACACAGCTTGGAGTAAGACAACATGCATGAAGAGGATGATGTGGACAAAATACTCATTTACCTAATAATTCTGCACTCCCTGTAGAGTGCTGTGCTGTTTGAATGTATAAACTGAACGCCAAGAGAAATCACTAGTTTGATTGTTTTCCGTGAATAAAATAAATATGTCAGGCAGGAGCGCCTCAGGATCTGTCTGAGATCTGTCTCGGTGAGACAGATAATAGCAATCCAAAGTGCATTTTATGTGTGATCTGACAATTGATCAACCATTGCTTAAAAATGAAATACAGCTTAGCCGGTTAATTGCTGTGATCATAAAACACGTAAACGGCAGCACGCAGAAATCACGAGGCAACGTTTTACGTGATGTTTACTTATTGCTATGAGTAATAAGACAGAAAAAGCCACGCCAAAATAAGTTTAGGAAGCCCACTACGAATCATAATAAAAGCATTTAAAATAAATACCATATACAGTTGAGGAAACGTTTTAAGTACCTGATATGAAATGGTCGCTGCATAAGCAAAAACCTTTACTCTCTGGATCCCACAGTTTCATTTTAGCCCGGTCACTAGCACGTTTTACTGGAATGATCCAACGTTTGCGGCGTTCTGAATCTTGGGGAATCCTGTAGATGGCTCATCCCTTATCTCGTCCGCGTCTGTTGTGGCATCCTGGGGCACAACAGGAATCTACCATATTTCCCGTTTGATCAAGATTTCTGACAATAACAAATAGTCCAGATGCGGGCTTCTGCCTGCCAATATGGCGCCGTTTCGATTTGAACTGTTGCATGCCGGGAGAAGTGACGTCAACTCCCGGAGCTCTATAGTCGGACTCAACTTAACGCATGGCTCTGGCTCCGGAATCAGTTTCCTTGAGATGGGTTGGACTTTCTACCACTCTGGAGTTACTCCCACTGAGAGGCGCCGAGCAGGGGTGGGAATACTAGTTGCCCCATCTTGGTGCCTGTAAGTTGGGGTTTACCCCGATGAACAAGAGGGTAGCTTCCCTCCGCCTACGTGTGGGGGGGTTGGGCCCCGACTGCGGTTTGTGCTTATACAGGTCAGACTACCCACCCTTTTTGGAGACCTTGGACAGGGTGCTGGAGAGCGCTCCTTCCAGTGACTCCCTTGTTCTGCTGGGGGTCTAACGCTCACGTGGGCAATGACAGTGAGACCTGGAATGGAGTGGTTGGGAGGAACCGACCCCCTGATTTGAATTTGAGCAGTGTTTTGTTTTTGAACTTCTGTGCTACTCATATATTGTCCATAATGAACACCATGTTCAGACATAAAGGTGTCCATATGTGCTCTTGGCACCAGGATACCTTAGGTCGCAGCTGGATAATCAACTTAGTCAGCATTTTGTCTGATCTGCGGCTGCATATCTTGGACACCCAAGTGAAGAGAACGATGGAGCTGTCAACTGACCGTTACCTCATGGTGAGTTGGCTCCGATGGTGGAGGAGCATGACCATCAGACCAGGCAGGCCCAAACGTATTGTGAAGGTCTGCTGGGAACATCTGGCAGAGTCTCCTGTCAGAAGGAGCTTCAACTCCCACCTCCGATAGAACTTCCAAAACGTTCCAAGGTGGGAGCGGCATTGAGTCCGAATAGGCCCTGTTCTGTTCCTCCATTGTTGAGGCGGTAGACCAGAGCTGTGGCCGCAGGGTTGTCGGTGCCTATCATGGTGGAAACCCCCAAATTTGTTGGTGGGCACTGGCGGTTAGGGATACTGTCAAACTGAAGAAAGAGTCCCATCAGGTCTTTATGGTCTGTGGGACTAAAGAGTCAGCTGATAGGTGCCGGCAGTCCAAGTGGAATGCGGATCGGGTGGTTGCGGAGGCAAAAACCCAGGTATGGGAGTTCAGTAAGACCATGGAGAAACACTTCTGCACGGCTTGGAGGAGATTCTGCTCCACCATCCGGCACCTCAGGAGGGGGAGGCAGTGTGCTACCAACATTATTTACAGTAGTGACAGCGTGCTGCTGACTTCTACCCGGGACGTTGGGGATTAGTGGGCAGAATACTTTGAAGACCTCCAGTGAGGAAGCGGATCCTGGAGACTTTGGGTTGGACTCTTCAATCTCTAGGGCTGAGGTTGTCGAAAAACTCCTTGGTGGCAGGGCTCCGGGGGTGGATGAGATCTGCCCAGAGTTCCTTAAGTCTCTGAATGTCGTAGGGCTGTGTTGGCTGACACAATGCAGTATTGCGTGGACATCGAGGGCAGTTCCACTGAACTGGCAGACTGGGGTGGTGGTCCCCCTATTTAAAAAGGGGGGCAGCATGGTGTGTTCCAACTACAGGGGGATCCCAATCCTCATCCTCCCTGGTAAGGTCTATTCAGTGGTTCTGGAGAGAAGAGTCCATCAGATGGTCGAACCTCAGATTCAAAAGGAGCAATGTGGTTTTCGTCCTGGCCGTGGAACACTGGACTAGCTCCCTGGAGCAGATTAAGAAGCCTCATACTCGGATTGTTGTCGCTGGTTTCATCATCACCCAATAGCCCATTGCATTTAGTCAAGTGAAGCCAAAATTTAGAGCGCGTTTGCTTTCTTCTAGTTGGAATTTTGGAGTTTCGAGGAGAAAGCGAACGCACCATTAGCTGAACCTATCAAGCTATTGTTATCTTAAACATTTTATTTACCTAGCGGAGCAGATTAAGATGATGATGCCTCACTTAGATCATTGTTGCTGGTTTCATCATCACCCAGTTACCTATCCCATTTAGTGTAGTGGACCCAAACTTTGGAAAGCTTCCTCTCTGCCATGCTGCTTTGTTTACAGCTCGCCCACAGTGACTGACGGCTTTACTTTACAGCACAATCACGTGACCGTAAAGCTGCGGTTTTTTAGTGGGTTAGACTGATCCAGGATCTGTTGTGTAACTTTTTTTACATTCAGGGTTTCCCCCTGTATTTCGGAGGTGGCCACAGCCAGCATGGAGGAGGGGGAGTGGGACGTACCGTTCAGAGTCGAGACCAATTCCACAGCTGACAGAGCTGCGCATTTAGGCTATTTTCCCTGTTTTATGTTTCCACACACAGTGCTGCTAGAGCCGATAATTATGGCACTGTAGGTGAGTGAAGGAGAGAGAGGGAGGGAGAGACCCTATGTGAGTGAGGGAGAGAGACTCCTCCCACACTGGAGCAGGTTCAGGCTGATTTTTTAAGCTTGGATTATGCTTCATCAGCGCAAGAGCGGAGTTGCACACTTGAGTTGACTTGAAAGTTCAACTTCCCTTTAAAAAAGGTTTGAGTTTCTGATGGCACACGTTAGTTCAAACAAGCTAACGTGTCAGTGTCTCTTTCAATGCGTGTGCGTCTCTCTCACGGAGCTGACCGCAGCACAAACTAGGCTTTAGAGCTGAGTTTTAGTGAGGGTTAGTACAGCCTGCTTGCCTTGGTAATGCAGGTAAAACTGTGTGCATGCTTTGTTATTTAATACATTTGAAAGCTGTTTCTACCTACGGATTTCCTCCTTGCATTTTTGGAGTAGAACAAGAGCGTGTTTTTTTTATAAAGCTCCTCTGTAGATAAAAATCACAAGTTGCTTCACAACTATATATATAAGTTACTTCTCCTGGAAATTAATTTTATAATGTTGTAAGTCAGTTACTTTTTAATGATTCCCCTGCAGGTCTTTCCCCGTTGAATGCTCTCTCAAACTTCAATTTTCTGCCTTTCTTCTTCTTACAGCTGTTCACAGAAAGCATTTAGCAAACATTTATGACAATGATTAAAACCACCATCAGGCTACTTCACCTGTTTCTGTTTCTCTATGATGATGGCAGCTTTGGCATTCAGCTCCTCCTGCATCTTCCTATGAGCTGCTTCCTGGGACCTCTGTCTTCTGGCTACTTTCGAAGAATCTTCATAAGAAGCACAACAACAGTTAACCAATCCAATCCAACTTGTTTATACAGCATTCTGGCCAGAGCTGGCATGTTTTAAAACATAAAAACACAAGGCAATAAAAGCAGTAAAACACATTTCTTTAGTTTATCTGACACTAAACACCACTCATTTAGGAAGTGCATTATTAGGAGATTTACTAATATTAAGAGTAGGGTTGTCACGATGTGAAAATTTAACCTCACGGTTATTGTGACCAAAATTATCACGGTATTTTTTTAAAGGTGTTACATTTTCAGACAATTAAATAAACCCTGTATATCAGGAAAATATTGTCCTCAGTTTGTGTCTAAATTTTGCCTAAAATTAGTAATTTTCTAATTATGTTGCTTATTTGTTTACATTTTTTCCCTTTAGTCTTTAAAATACCAATATTTGCCCATAACTTCTTATTTTATGTCTGTTTGATGTCATCATTTTAAAAATATTAGATCAGATGATACTCAGTACTCAAGTAGCCTTCTAATCAGATACTTTTTTTTTTACCCTTACTTGAGTAATAAACCCTATATCAGGAAAATATTGTCCTCAGTTTGTGTCCTTCCAGTGAGCTTTGCAGATGTGGGAAAATGTCATCAGGCAGTAATCATTGTTAAATTCATAATTATTCTCGGAGAGAGACCAACTCTTATCTGCCCCTGGGAGCCCCGTAATGCATAGCGTCATTTCAACATGGGGGTGTCCGCGACACGGTTTATATGCAGGTAGCGGCGCTGCGGCTGCTTTATATAGCCACTCGGTGCTTTCTCCCTCAACCCAAATCCTCGGATCACGCATTTTAGCTAAAACACTAACGTTAGCTTAGTTCAACGGGACTAATGTTGTCAAAGGAGGGGGATTGTGTTTTGTATTATTTGTGGCACTTTGGATAATATTATCTAATAAATTCCATTGGAATTTATTAACTGTACACAATCATGAGCAAATAATTCACAATAACTAGCATAGGAAAAATGCCACAAGAACATATTAAGAACAGGAAAAAGTTGATTTTTATCAGAGTGTGTCTTTAACTGAGATTGTGTTTAAGATGTGCTTCACAACTAAACTTTGACCAGACAGACCTAATTAAATTATCTGTGATTTTAAAATGTGGATTTTAATTATGTGTGTTTATATAGGACACAGTTTGGATGATGCCTGCGTAACAAGTGCCATTTCTGTCTGTAAGAGAGTTGTCAGCTGCTTCTGCTTCCCCTGGCTGATGTGCAACTACAGCTGGGTCTACCAGGTCACCAGCTAACCACCGAGTCAGCCTCTCGCTGGGGATCAGGACTACAGATGATTGGGTCCTTCCTTGAGCAGGAAGGGGCACTTTCTAAAGTCTTGTCCTCTGACAAGAAAACCAGACCACTTGTTCCCACCTGGCAGGACATCGAGGTCCTGGAGGCGATCAAGAAGGCTCTGAAACCCCTTCAAGACTTCACTGACGCTCTGTCAGGAGAAGAGTACGTCACCCTTTCATACATCAGGCCTGTGCTTTACCTGTTCACCAACAGTCTCCTGGCACATGAAGAGGGAGATAGTGAGCTCTGCAAGTCCATCAAGTCCTGCATTGAGCACTACCTCAACAGCAAATATGCTGATCCATCCACCTGTGACCTGTTGGACATTGCTGCATTACTGGATCCCCGATTCAAGGCTACGTACATTTCAGGTGAAAAACTTGATGCACTAAAGCATAAATTCATCACAGAGGTGGAGTCTTTGCCCAGTCACCAGGTCGGCTTTGTGCCTGACCCAGCTGGGACTGAGCCTGCAGACCAAGGCCAGGCAGCAGTTGCAGTACCACCCGCATCTAAAAAGAAAAAATCTCTGGCGAGCTTCTTTGAGAACACCAAACCTACAACAAGCACCACACACACACACACACACACACACACACACACACACACACACACACACACACACACACACACACACACACACACACACACACACACACACACACACACACACACACACACACACACACACACACACACACACACACACACACACACACACACACACACACACACACACACACACACACACACACACACACACACACACACACACACACACACAGGATACAGTGGAAACTGAGCTTTTGAGCTACTTGTTGTCAGGTTGTGTAGAGAAAGATGCTGACCCTCTGAAATGGTGGCAGAAACATGAAAGTAACTTTCTTCATTGAGCCGCCTGGCAAAAAGGTACCGTTGTGTGCCAGCCACCAGCTCACCTTGTGAAAGGGTGTTTAGTTGCAGTGGGAACATTGTTAACTTGCCACAGGACATCCCAAAAACCTGACAGTGTGGACAGGTTAGTTTTCCGGGCACGAAATCTGTACATTGTACAGAAGTTGGTTTGTTACTTTTTGATTTCATATCATTTGCTCTTATTATTTGAGATGCGCACAAGCTAAGATACCATTAGAAACATTTTGGATAAAAAATGACAAGCCGCTAGATTTCCTGGTGTTGAACTTCTGTGTGTCTGTAGCAGAGATATTAATTGGTCTGGTCGTTCTATCGTCCATCATGATTTGTGCTTTTATTAGTGTGATGCTAACTAGCAAATGAAATATCAGATATTATTACTATTATTGTTTTTGTGATTACTGCTGACTACTTGGGCAGAGTTTTTTCTGTTGCTTACCCATACTTTGCTTTTCCTTCTACCTTCAGGCACGGATGCTGACATTTGATCGTGTGTTTGTCACATGATCAGATTGACACCTGGGTAGTTTCTGATTAAGTTACGCCCTGAAGAAGGTCGCACTCCACCGAAACGCATCCGCTGTTTCTTGCTTAAAAACATATAATCCTCAGACTGCCTCATATCACCCGTTTTTCTTCCTCAGACTAACCTAGAGTAACAACCAAAAAGGTTAGAAATAAGGGTGAGGTTAGGGCTGGGCGATATGACGATTTTAGACCGTTTTACGATCTAGACATCTGACGGTCTGTCATTTTTGAGAGACCGTTTTATCACGATTCACAGCTCTGCTGTTGAATTTCTGCCTCTGAATGAAAAGGGAACTTACCCCAGGCGAATGACACGCCTTTGTTTGACCCTTAACCAATCAGAGTGAGTCATAGTAATATATTGCCCCGCTTGTTTTCACCTGTGTGTGAACAAACATGGCTTCGCCACGGCTGAGAGCGACAACGAGGTTTTCGTTCCGAAGAGGAACGCAGGGTTTCCTTAGCGTGCGGCGCTAACAACTTAGCGACGTGACATGTCTCGGAGAAAGCGTAAAAACACGTTGGACGCTTCTTCTGAAGCAGGAAAATAACACTTCTTAAGCAGAGCACGACGCCGCCTCGGCTCGTCCACCCTCTGCCGAGCCGGTACCGGACTGAGCTCGGTCACTGGGTCGCTGGAGCTGCCCCGTGACTGCCTGATGGAAAACCAGCGGGTTTCATCAGACTCGTAGTTTCTTGTTTTTGCTGGGACCCGCTGTATTTTACCGCTCCCTCCTGCAGTCTTCCCCTATTAACATTTAAAATGATTCTGTAAATCCGTGTATCAATAGAAACAATCTCTGCCTCTGCCAGCTGCAGTAAATGTAGTTTCCAAATAATAAGAGGTGCATTCATCTGTGTATCTCCTTTGATCTGCATTAGTGATATTCTCAGCACCAGAACAGTGAAGCAAAGAAAGATTCCTGAGTTTGTTATAATTTTATTTATTAGGTGCATCTAACCTGTTCTATTTTTCTCTGAAATGAGATCAAATCAGTGCTTCTATGGGTTGTTTCCAACCTGCACTGGAAATTTTTACTTTATTTAGAGACTTGTTGCAGAAAATATTCAGAATGTGAAGTTATTTGCTACCACAAGCGATCTCTGGTCCAGCCGCACATCAGAGCCGTATTTGAGCTTAACTATCCACTACATGAGCAACTGGGAGCTACATAGTATTTTGAACAAGTTAATGTTTGCACAATACGTTTGCAATTGACATGTTTGCACTTTAAATATGTTTACGATTTTAATTTATGTTAAGTTACTTGAAAAACGAGAAAACTGATTTTTGTAATTGTTTCTCTCAGGGCTTTTATCATCTCTGGTGTGAGTTTAAAATATAAGTGTGTTAGCACTGTGTTGATTATCCCTAATATGAATAAATGTTTATTTATTCAGTGTTTCTCTTCTTTAATACGCAATTGAAGTTATGCTATTCATGGATAAAAAAATCGTGATAAAATCGAAATCGTGATAAAATATTGGAAAAATCGTGATATTCTATTTTTGCCATATCGCCCAGCCCTAGGTGAGGTTGAAGGAGAAAACACCTAAATTGCCAGAATCAGCTTTCCTAAGAAGGCACAAAACAAGGCCATGCGGGGGTGAGCCGACCTAACCAAGACTGGACAGAGCCAAGCCTTTTTTATAACAAGTGTTTAAAATTGTAAAATCTAATTTGTTCCACAACGGAATAATGAATGGATACAAAAATCCTGTCAGTTTAGGCCTGAACAATTTCTACATGTTTCTGTAGCAACAGAGAAGCAGTACTGAAGCTGACCGTGCAGTGAATACAAGATGGGGTCACTTGGTCCAGCTGACATCCTTTTCCTCAGGTGTTGGATAAACAAGTAGACCATGATGGTTCCAGCCAGCAGGTACCATCCATACTGGGACAGGATCTCTCCTGCTGGGACACAAAAAAAAAAAACAGGTGTGCTTCAAAACACATTCATCTCAAACCCTTCCACACACCCTCAGGAGATGTTGTGTTGACAAGAGATTGCCTAGTCTCTGGAACATGCATTGGTCAATACAGCCACATACTGAGGAAGTAAACTGCCAGAAATGAGGAAGTAAACAGAAGTGAGGAAGTAAAAGGCCAGAAATGAGGAAGTAAACAGAAGTGAGGAAGTAAAAGGCCAGAAATGAGGAAGTAAACAGAAATGGGGAATGTAAACGGCCAGAAATGAGGAAGTAAAGGGCCAGAAATGAGGAAGGGCCAGAAATGAGGAAGTAAACGGCCAGAAATGAGGAAGTAAACGGCCAGAAATGAGGAAGTAAACGGCCAGAAATGAGGAAGTAAACAGCTAGAAATGAGGAAATAAACCGCTAGAAATGAGGAAGTAAACAGAAATGAGGAATGTAAATGGCCAGAAATGAGGAAGTAAACGGCCAGAAATGAGGAAGTAAACAGCTAGAAATGAGGAAGTAAACCGCTAGAAATGAGGAAGTAAACAGAAATGAGGAATGTAAATGGCCAGAAATGAGGAAGTAAACAGCTAGAAATGAGGAAGTAAACAGCTAGAAATGAGGAAGTAAATGGTTAGAAATATTGGTGACACGGCTACTTTTCCAAATATTCGTAATGTGAACTTGTTTCTAATATGTGCTTGTTTCCAACACGTGTACTCGTTGAAAATGTGTTGTTTCAGGGCAGATGAATTACTAAAATTGTGTATCTTACCTGAACACATTTAAGAAGAATGTTTTAAAATCAGCGTGTAAAGAAGATTTTTCCTGGTTCCTAGTTCCTAATAACGGGTCGCATTCCTGTTTTTTTAACCGACAGCATAAAAGTTTAAGCTCTGTGTCGCATCTACATATTTATGAGCATTTAAACACACCTGCTGGTGCAGACAGGGCACCCGAGTCACAATTCATTTACACTCACTCTTGAAGCTCAAGTGTAGAACTTGGTTTTACGTGATAACTAATGGCAGATCTGTTTGGAAAACATTCAATTTAAACAGGTACACTTTGTGTGTGTGTGTGTGTGTGTGTGTGTGTGTGTGTGTGTGTGTGTGTGTGATCTCCATAATCCTTCACGAAGGAAGAAGAAGGTTTACTGCGAGTTAGGGGTCGATCGGGCCGATATTCACCGTTTTTACATAGCCATCAGCCGATATTTGTCCTTTGTAAAGTCTATTTGAAGTCAGGCACATCAGACAGTCCTGTGCTGTTGCAGGGTCTACTTTAAATACATTTTTACATTCACTAATAACATCTGCATACTGTGAGGGATGAAGCATGAGGAGTCAGGAACAACTTAGAAAAATATGGTTTTTATTATTAACTAAAAAACTTCATTTGACAAAAAAAAGTGAGGAGTTCATAAAAAAGGTCAAAATAAAATAACTCAGGCCAAACGTGAACAAGGCAACTGTCTGCACAAACCCAACTGACCTAGTGGCTGATCAAACCAATAACCAATAAATAATAGGGGTAAGTTAAACACTCGACACAATGGAGGAGACATCACCTCCTCGATTCATTTTCAATGACTCGTGCGAGTCTAAGCATTTCTCCCTCCTGCCAAGTTACATGCCAAAAACATGCATGTGAAATGTTGCGTTGTGCACGTGTCGTGCACTGGTGATCCAGCAACCCAGAACGTTGAAAATTTTCCACTTTTTATCACGGTCGCTCAGACAAGGACCAATCAGAGGTTTCACTGACTGACCAATGAGCAGACAGGATGCTTCTCAGTGCATCTCTGGCAAACACGAAGGAAAAGTTGATACTTGCTGTGTCGGATTTCCCGGAGCTTTACAACGTTTCTACGGAAGAACAGATCTTCACAAAAAGGCAGCAGCATGGGGAAGTGTCGGTAAGTCGTTCTCATATTCACCGTTTCCTTTTCTGTTTGTAATATGGGATCAACCCATTCCCGTATTTTATTTTTTATAATATTAAGTCAGCAGTAAGACTACTTATCTTTAGCAAAACCTTGTGAGGCTTCATATCTACTGCTTTTTCTACTCTGAACTGCTTTCATAGCCCAACATTTCACAGCTTCACAGAGCTTCGTCTCAGCTGTTATTTTCATTGAGTGTGCACGTACAGCATGCGCGCCTCGTGCACGAGCCTCCTATTGAAGCTGCCATTACGCTTTTGGCCAGAGGGGGCAATCGCGAGCATAAAAATTCAAAACGCCCTAAAGTCCCTTTAATAAACATGCTGAAAGAACAGAAGGATAAAAAGGACGGTAAATTTGAAAAAGCACAAGCTTCTACTTCAACTGCGGATGACCACGACTACTGCCTCGCAGATATGGAGTCCGAATCCGGCGGTGGAGAGAAAAGACACCGTGAAGATAAGTGACTCGCCTTTCTCAACTCCCTCTAAAGGTGGCCACCCGAAAAAGCGACATATTGGCAGCTATTCAAGCTCTCCATGTGCGATTTGATAAACAGGACGAGAAAACAGCGAACATTAACCAAAGATTATATGAGGATTCCTTAATGATTGCCAGTCTTGCTGAATCCCTTGAATTTAATGCAGCTGAAGTTCGGGACTGCAAAGAAAAAAGCAACAGATTAGAAAGGGAAGTATCAACCATGAGGAAAGAAGTTGACGAACTTAAAGGCGAAAGAGCGAAACCGATATTCCAGAAGGTGGAATTTAAGGATTAAAGGAATGAAAGAAGGCATGGGTGGATATCAGAAAAGATGTGATCAGGATTCTTGTCAAGACCGCCCCAGAATGGTCAGATGGTACGGAGAACTTTGTAGATACTGTGCATCGGATTGGAAGAAAGGAAGATGGCAGAAACAGCAAGGTTATCATCCAGTTCACTAAGCGTCTGCATCGAAATGGAATATGGAAAAAATCCCAAAATGCTCAGATCTGTGAGACTGAGAAAATCTGCTTTGCTGAGGACCTGACGAAGGAGGATCGCCTGGAGAGGGAGAAAGTTTGGCCAAAAATCCTACAAGCCAGGAATGCAGGAGAAAAGGCCTACTACAGAGGGGCTTTCGGTTACATCAATGGCCGCCGCGTGCTGGCGGACAGCCGATTTAGAAACAAACAAAAAAAAAGTCACTTTGATGTCAACTTTGAACTTCATGCATAAAGAGGGAAGTTTGACACTTTTTGGATGCGGTAGGAGGAACCTGCACCACTCCTTTTCCTTGTTACTCTTTCTTAGAAAGGAAAACAACTTTTTTACTTCTATTCAAATTCAATATTCTTATCTGATTCTTTTTTATTTGTTCTTATAAATGTTACGCACAAGTTGACCTTTTATTTCGTTAAATGCAAGAGGTCTTAGGGATAATGTTAAAAGAAAAGCAATGTTTCTGTTCTGTAAAGGGCTTAAAGCTCACTGCACCTTCCTACAGGAAACCCATCCAAGTGCTGCTGATGCCACCTTCTGGTGAAAACATCTTGTTCAGCCGTGGAGCTCGTCACTCTGCTGGTGCAGTTCTTTTCTTTCATGTCCAGGGAAGGTTGAGACTTTTCAGGCAGATGATTGGGGTCACTGGCTGGCAGTCGTATTGAATGTTAATGAATCATTTGTGATATTTGTTAACATTAATGGATATGCTTCTATAGCCCAAAATAAGCTCATGCTGGAAAAGATAACTGATATATTGTCTGGGTATAAACGATCATACAACACTGGTGGTGACTTTAATCTTGTTGCAAATGAATGGCAGGATAGATATCCCCTAGAAATAATATTAACCAGTGCAATCCCACTCTGACAGAGTTAATTGATTCCAATAATTTAAGTGATATATGGAGAGGAAAAACCTGGTGTTACTCAGTTCTCATGGATCAAGCCTAATGGTACCAGTATGTCCAGATTAGATGTGTGGTTACGTTCAACCTAACCATGTCTCAGCTGCACCTTTAACACACCACAGTATCATTATTCTAAAATTAAACCCTGAAAATAAGACACTTTAGAAAAGACGATTGGAAACTCAATGCAGATCTTTTAACAGATGATAAATATGTTAATATAGTCAAAGAACTGTGCTGTAAAATCTGCAATGACAAAACAACTGGCAACCACACGAGTAGATGGGAATTTTTTATTTTAAAGTTAGAGAATTTTTAATTACATTTGGTAAAATGAAAGTGACTAAAGGATTTGGAAAGAAATCTAAATCAAAATATTAATAATTATTGCAATAACCAGGTCATGACAGATGCTGATAAAGAATCCCTCCGATCTTTACAAACTCAGTTAGACGATTTATTTAGAAGTGTACGTTAGGGCTCGTGCAAAGTGAATAGAAGAGGGTGAAAAGAGTACTTCTTATTTTTACAATTTGGAGAAACGAAGGCAAGAACAAAAATCTATAAATACGTTACTTGTGAATGAGAATGAATGCACAGATTATAAGATTATATCGGATGAAATTAGGGATGCTCCGATCAGGTTTTAATCTACCGATTAGCCAAGAGGCCGATCATGGCCGATCAGCCGATTACCGATACCAATTACATAGATTGGCTGTAAATTGTTCATTTAGCTATGGTGAGTTCTAATGCACGTGTTACATATTAATTCAGAAAAAACATGGTTTTACTTCACTTCAAATTATGTAATATCAGTAACAATTCATAAGAAATTGAAAACATTAAGGCTGTCTTTAGGCTACAAATAGTGCAAAAAAGTCATAATATCTCACATCACCGCCTAAATCAAATTAAGTAACCAAGGATACATTCAGTTACATCCAGTGAGCTGTTACGCTCAGCATTGACACAGGACTGACATCTGAGCTCCAAATGTCACTTGTGAAACTCACAGAGGATGAGACGCTTTCTTTAAGGAGTCCCTCGATGAAAGAATACACTGTCTGGTGGAGCTCTGGAAGGGCTACGTCGGCGAAATATTTACGTCCTGGTAGCATGTAGCGGGGTTCCAAGTGGGTTAGTAGTTGGCGGAAT